ATAATGCTCTCCTCGTGGTCATTGCTGCAGCATAAACATCCTTAGGAATGACTGTTTAGTAGTATAAATATTGCTGAGACTGCTGTATCAGGAACATGTACTATTAATTTTGTACACTGTCTTACTTTGCTTTAAAAGAGTTGTGCCAGTCTGCAGTTTAAAGCTTCCAATAATATTGTTCTGCTAATTTCTTTAAATCAGCCCCACCCCGGTACAATTTCATTGCATTGTCCCATTCCCACCCCCACCCCCCATCTTTGGCCGTTTGTATTTCTTACGGGTTGACTGCCCACTTTCCAATTGCATTCTTTTCTTACCGGTTTATACAAGTCCTTCACGCAGTATGGTGTTCAGTCCTAACTGACTCGCCCGTAGGAGTGTCCAACCTTGTAAATCCGTCTCTTTCTGGACTTCATGTGGTGGTTTTGTCTTTGACACCTTCTGGTTTCTTTGCCTCAGAGTTGTTTTCGCGCCAATATCATTCGGTTTTCCTATTTTTTGTATTAATATTACCTTTATCGTAGGGCATTTCACATTGGTGTCATGCTTTGCCGTGACATTTATTTAGGTTTTATGTTCTTCAGCAACAGTATGTATCATTTCTCTTTGTGTAGATTTTATATTAATTCCTGCTTTACCTTTTTGTATTGCTGAGTGAATATGCTGTTTTCTTTACATTTTACAACTGAATTAACTAGGACTTGTATATTTGTCTGTGTGTACCATCTGAATTCTCATTCCTTTACTAATATTGTGTCGTTGTAAATATTAATTGCCAAAAATGTAATGCCAACCTGTGTATGAAATGTAAACCTTTAGAAATTCGGGGCGGGGGGGGGGTAATGTAATGCCAACCTGTGTATGAAATGTAAACCTTTAGAAATTCGGGGGGGTGGGGTGGTGAGAAGGAGCAGTGACAGGAAGGCTCAGGCCTCCCTCAGAATTGGGCAGACACCGCCAAGTGCAAGGACTTACATGACGTACAGCCTCAGTGGCAGGTTGTTAGGAGAAGGTTGTTCTTAATGCAGAGTGCTCTTCCACACCCCACAGAACAGCAGCAGCAAACAGGTGTCGTCAGAAAGAAAACAAAATAAAGCCAACCAAGTGGGCATTGGACAGGTTACAGTCTCTGGTGGTAATAAATAAACTAAGTAACTCAGCCATTAAAAGAGAGCTAGGAGGTGGGCCTATACCGTAGTGGTAGACTGCTTGGTTAGTATATACAAGACCTTGTGTTCAGCCCCCAATGGTTTAAAAAAAAAACACACAAGATAACTATAAATAAACTGGTCATGTGGAAATGTTGAGATACTTTTTTAGATTATTTACTCCTCAAAGTATTGTGTTCTTTGACTAAAGGAAAAACTAAAAATATGTATTATCCAGCGATGAGCAGAAGTCATTAAAATTGAGATGGAAATAATTATTCTGTTAATTAAATTTGAAAATTAATAAGAAAAGTTCAAAATAAGAAAAGTGCAAGGAAAAACAAAGATGATGGGGAGAAATTGTACAGGGTAAATGTAGAAATCACTAGATCATCAAATAAGAGAAGAATGTTTCCAAAACAAAAACAAAACTCCATGTGAATTTTTAAAGTAAATAATATGACTAAACTCCTGACAGACCTGACATTTGTGAATAGAGAAAATCTAAAGGGGACACACACACACACACACGTCAGTTCAACCAAACTAAAGCTAAGATAGTAAGAAATACTGTGTAGAGATTTTAGCCGATACAGTTTAAAGTTGAGATTAAGGAGTTTATAGAAAAATCTTTTATCATAATCAAAACTGACTCATGAAGAGGGTGAAACATGGACGAACCCATTACCAAGAAGAAATTCCAACATTTGTAAAGACACACAGCTGACAAAGATGTAGGCCAGGGTTTGGCCGGTGAGTTTACCTCTCAGAGGGTTAATTATTCCTATCTTTAATGCTTCAGGAGTAAAGAAGGAAGTGGAATGCTTGCATATTCCTGTTGTCAAAACAGGAAAAAGTAGCACACAAAAGCCCTATAGGCTACTCTCACTTATGAAAATATTAATGTCCTTAAAAATGTTTGTGGACAGTTCATAAGTGTATTAAGAGGATAATAAGCAATGACTAGGAATGATTTATTCCACGGAAGCAGGATTGCTACAGTGTTAAGAACTCTAATGTCCTGCCTGTCATTAGAAAACAGAACAATCGCATGGTCACTATGAACCGATATTTTTAAAGCGTCAGATAAAAACCTATGTGTTCGCCGCGCAGTGGTGGCGCACGCCTTTAATCCCAGCACTCGGGAGGCAGAGCCAGGTGGATCTCTGTGAGTTCGAGGCCAGCCTGGGCTACCAAGTGAGTTCCAGGAAAGGCACAAAACTACACAGAGAAACCCTGTCTCGAAAAACAAAACAAAACAAAAAAAACCTATGTGTATTTTTGAGTGGTGAGTAAATTTTAAAATGAGTAGAAGGGAAATTCCTAGATCTATCAAATGTTCTTATTTTTAATGTTGAAACATTTTTAATGGCCACAGTAGAAAATGCAGACTAAAGTATTGAATGTGAAGATAGCATTGTGAAATTTATTAGGATGAGATACCAGAAATCAATTTCCTTGGTGCATCTTTAAATAACAAGGCATTCAGTTTGAAATTTCATCTGTCACAATGCTAGGCTTTATTTTGAATGGAGGCAAATGAATAAATAAATGTGTGCCTTCACAATGTATATGTGTGCATGTGTGTGCCATTCAAGCGGAACTTGGTGAACAGTTTGCAGCTGACTTGTGTTTACAGTATGTCAGAAATAAAGAGGTGCTCCTCCTTCTGTGAATGCTAATAAAGTAAAAGTATATTTTGCCCAGTTATCTTCCTAGGACTGATTGCCTTAAAATCACTACTCTGATATTGAGACCTAGTTGTTATGGACACAGTATCGTAATAGATATTTACAGACATACAGTGGATAACACCTTGTGCAAGCCCTCAAAGGATGTTAGAGGTAGCAATGAGTTCAGGATGCTGGTGGCATGAGACTGGACCTTGTGGGAGAAATAGAATTTGCACACATAGAGAGAGGAAGAAAAAGCTTCGTAAGCTAAGAGAACAGAATGAACAAATGTGTGATGACAGGAACTATAGGCTGCTAGGAAGAAAGGCGGTACCTAGACTCCGCTAAGCGTTCCCTCAAGCATGTTAAAATAAGAAAAAGAAGAAAGGAGAAAACAGATGAGCAAAGGCTCTCTCGTTGGTGAGTTAGCTTAAAGTCCAGACACCTTCATTTTCCAAGGTTCCACAGATGGTTCCATTCACTGTAAGGGTGGAAAGCAGTGGTGCAGTCTAGCATTTAACTCGAGTAACAAGGATGTAGGGGCACCCTGGGAGATGCCAGAAAGAAATATATTAGAGTCAGGTGAGAACCAAGATAATGTTGTTTTGATTCAGTTTGTATTTTGCTTTTATTTCTATTACATTACCATAATTCTTACAATTTTTTGTTACTATTTTAAGATAGGGTCTCAACTCTGTAGCCTAGGCTGGTTTTAAAACTCATGGTCCTCCTGCCTCAGCCTCCCAGGTGCTAAGGTTAGGCATGTGCCACCATGTCTGATATAGTCTCCTCCATTAGATAGCAACCAAGTGTCTGTTAAATACAATTGACCCCTGGGTGAATTTGAAGCAAAACATGAGTTGAAAAGGTGAGAACTGTCAGTGTTTCTGTATATTCACCCCCAAAAGCTAAAACAACACGATTTTGTTATTGCTTGTACTTATGTAGGTTGATGGGACTCACCTCAGCAGTCTTGAGTCATCTGGGGCACAATCTGGTCTCAAATGTCCAATATTGGTGGCTCACATAGCTCTCAACTGACAGCCTAGCAGGGACTTGTCAGAGCATCTTTGTGGACATCTCACAGAATCACTGCTGAGTCCAGAGAGGAAGTGCCTCAAAAGCAAGTGCTTGGAGGGACCCAGGCTACAAAACACCCGATGAGCTAGGCTTGATTGCCTCAGACATCGCTGCCATGTTCTGTAGGTCAAGCATTCAGTGAAAGCCGAGTAGACTCCATCCTGTGAGGAGAAGAATGTGGACATACAAGGAGGGAAGGAAATTGATGGGAGACATTTTTAGAGACTTGCTACCACAACATCAATACACTAACTAACACAGGATCAAAGTATATGAAGTCAGTATTTCAGGAAATTTAGATAGTAACACAGACAAAACAGCGAGGATAAAGGGATCTGAATAATGTAAAGTGTGTATTAAAATATGTGAAAATATTGATGGATTATCTGACACTAGAGTGCACCCTTATTTCCGGTATCTCCAGACCGGAGAAGCCCTTGATTCCCTGCACACACAGGAATCTGAAGCTTCGACCTGACGTTCTAAGAGTACAGCTGTGCCTCTCCATCTGTTCTGTTAAATGGGTTCTTGGGATGATTTCTTCATCCTTGGGTGCAAATACTTGGGTTATGCACTCTCTCTTGTTTTTCCTCTGTCTTGTTTGCTAACAAAGAGCAGCAGCAGGGAAGGGGGTTTTGTTTTGGTTCCCCATAGTATGGAAATAAGAACAGTTTTGACTTGGCCTGGGCTGCTCAGTGTGCTCAGGGTCATCCTCCAGTGGCCGCTGGAGTCCTATTTTCTAATCGTGACTTGGGAATCGAGCCATGGTTGTTTTCCATGTGTTGTTTTGAAGTCTCCTGAGTGGGGGAGTTTGATGATAAGAATTTTGGCTTTGTTTTATTTTTTTACTTGCTTTCTGAAACTTATGTTATTTGCCATTCCTGGTCCCATGAAGGGAGTCTGGAATGGGAGCCCCGGGTTCGGGATTACGCAGTGTGATGCGGTTTCCTGTCCTGGGCACTCCATGTCTTTGTCATGCCGTTGCCGTGATGCACAGACACGCTGCAGGAACCGGATCTTGTTCTTGAGCCACACAGGGTTGGCGAGTAATCCCTCGGCTGGATTCCCCGTTAACGCCCAGATCCCTTTGCTGTTGCAGGTCGTCACGCTGTGGTACCGGGCCCCAGAAGTCCTGCTCCAGTCCAGCTACGCCACCCCTGTGGACCTCTGGAGTGTTGGCTGCATATTCGCAGAGATGTTCCGCAGAAAGTAAGAACTCCATTCCCTCTTTGAACCCTCAGTCTATTGAGTGGCAGCTTGGTGTCTCTGTCTCGGTTGAGGTCGTGATCATACCCCCCTGCACTCAGTCCTGTCCGAGGTCCACAGTCCACAGTCCAAGGACTGTAGCGCCTGGTTGTGGAAGCTGTCTGGAGAGTAATCTCCCGCTGCCTTACTAGTCACTTGAAACATCTTACAGTGTTTTTAGTGAAGAAAGACCCTCAGGGTGGGCTTTATCCACAGGAGGATGATCAGGGCTATGAAATACACAGGAGTTTTTATCAGGGGTCCTAATGGGGAAACCGCTGTGGGGGGAGGGGGTACAAGGCGAAGGGAAGGCAGACATGAGTGGTGCCTCACAGTACTGACAGAGTCCTGCCGTATGGAGAAGAGATCTGGCACATTTGGGCACGGGAGAGTGGTGTTGGTTGATTTTGCTCTTTGCTCTTTTGGCTCTTGTGGGGGGGGCTAGGGGGGGCACCACCCAGCTACTAAATAAAAACATACACAGCTACTAAATAAAAACATACACAGAGACTTATTATTACTTATGAAAGACTGACCTTAGCTTGGCTTGTTTCTTGCCAGTTTTTCTAAATTAGCCCATCTACATTTTGCCTCTGGGCTCTTACCTTTTCTTTTTCTGTATATCTTCCTTCCTTCCTTCCTTCCTTCCTTCCTCCCTCCCCCTCCCCCTCCCCCTCCTCCTCCCCTCCCTCTTTCTCCAGAATGCCCATGGCAAATGGACAAAACCGACTCACCAGTCCCCTGACCTCCATGGGCCTACTGTGGCATGCATGTGCACACAAAGTAAAATGCGTGCTTGAAAAGGAGATTTGCTTAGAAGGGGGATCCACTGATCAGACAGGATTTTGTGTGTTCTCAGTGTCCAAGTGTCCACTACAATTGGAGATATTTTCAGCAGTGGTAGGAGAGTTGTGTGATGTCCAGGGCCACACTGCATGTGAAAGCTGTAGTTCACTTGATCTTTAGGTCCCAAAAATTGGCAAACAGTACAATAAGGTTCTGTCAGGGAGCTAACCCTGATCTTTTCTGTTTTTGTTTCCCTCGAGAGAGGTGAGTGAGGAAGCTGGGTGTGTTCCCACTGAGCGTGTTCAGAATATAGCTCTGTATAACTTCTTTTCTGAGGAAAGAAGTGGTCAGCCATTGTGGCCTGCTGTCTGTGAGAGCCAGAGGAAGTATGTGTGGGTGAATTTTGTGAAGGGCTTCTAGACCTCAGCAAAATTCACTGTAACTCTCACAGGATGGGATTGTGGCAAAGACACACTTGAGAATACAAAGAATGTTTCGTGCTGGCCTACTGTGTGTCAAGAACATTACCAGAGTTTTCCCATTGTGTTGCCTTTTCTAATCCTTGATGTAAGAAGAAACTGAATGAATGGCGGCTAAGAAGTAGCAGGGGTATGAATTGAAAGGGAGTCCAGTAAATTCTAATCTAGTAATGTTTAAAAAACAAAAAACAAGAGCAGGAATACAAATTAGCCATCAGCTAAACTGCAGTGACTACCAGCCAGGCTGAGGAAGAAGGGCTTGTGTATATTGCATGCATGTGAAGACCAGAAGTCTACCTCAGTGTCATCCACATTTTTTGAGACAGCCATCTCACTGGACTAGCTGATGAAGCTAGGCTGGCTGGCCATAGGGGTCACCCCCATTTCCACCTCCCCAGCCCTAGTGTTACACGCTCAGGCCATCGTGCCCGCTTTTCATGTTGGTGCTGGAGGTGCCTGAGCCTGCTGGGCAAGCACTTTACCAACTACGCCGTGTCTTCTGCCCTTCGGTAGGTAGTTTTTGGAAGTGTGGTCCCTGTGTGGCGCTTCATCATTACTTGGGCCTTTCTCAGCATCCATCCTACATCTACTGAGATGGGATTCTGGATTCTAAGTGCGTCAGGTGATTCCTTTATCCAACAAGAGGGGAACATATTAGGTTAAAGGTCAGAGATGGGATTAAAACCCAGAAGTAGAGAGCAGGATGGGAGTTAGGACAGGTGTTCCAGGCTAACCAGGAATAACTTAATAATAAAGAGTCTATTAGAACAATGTTCATTGCAATTATATTTATGAGTCTAGAATTTTCCTCAGTATAAAAATGGGGTCCCTATTTTGGGGGTGGGGAGGTCAGTTACTTTTCCACAATACTATTTATTAGATTAGCCATGATTGATGATTTTAAAAACCTGTTTTTGAAGATGCTAAAAGAAAGATAAAACTTAAAATATTAGAATTGAGCATTCACTAGTCAGTTATTGGCTCTATTTTTAAGTCTGAGTGATAGCCACCTATGGAAGATTCAACCCCAAGTTTCACTTTATTTCTAACTAATTGATTAGTGTAAATGGATAATCAGGTTCCCATGCTAGCTTGAGGGCTCTTGAATAATTGGGAACATACATGAAACATTATATTGCTGGGTCATCAAAACCTTTTTCCTATGGGAAATTTTCCTTCTGTATTCCAATCCAACATGACAAGAGCAGCCCTCTTCCCACCTCAGAATTAGGACTGGGAAAGGAGGCTCAAGGAAAGGCTTCTTTGGTGACAGTGACAATCCTCTGCTTGTCCTTGGCTTCGAGGGTAAGATACTAGGTGAGACCCATCGGCTCGTCGGAGTGTGGACACAGGAGAGTGCCCTTCTCCTAAAGGCGCCATATGAAGGCAGGAGGTTGAGAGAGACATGAGGGAGTGAAGGATTAAAGGAGAAAGCAGTAGCAGACCCTGGGTCCTGAAGCTAAGCAGAGTAATTCTAGACCAGACACCTAACCTTCCCAGGATGCCCTGTCCCTGCCTGGCCCCTGCTGCTTGGCTGTGACCTTGAACCTGGATGCAGTCTTTGATCTTCGTTTCTGCTCAGCTCACAGTGATGCTCCTGTGATTCTCCAGATGTCTGGGCACAGCATGCTTCTTACTTAGGCCGGAAGTGTCCCAGTACTCCAGCATCACCAGGATCCAGCTGGACTCCTGATTCTGTGTAGATCCTATTGAGAATGCAGAAGCCCAGGATCCCGAAAGTATACTCTTTGATTACTGTAGAATAATCTAAGTCAGGGAATATTGGTACCTGTCCATTTTGTGTACCCACTTGTTGCAGAGACAGTAATTTCTACATTGTATCATCTTTATTGCCCTCATTGCTTTTGTTATATCCTTATGGCAGCTTTACTACCATTTACTTTTTTTTTTTCTACCCTGAATCAGCTTACTTTTTCATTTAGCCTCACCCTAAACAAGATTATATAAAACTATAGCTTTGGTAAACTGGTGATTTATTTGTCTGATAAGCATTAGAACCTATTTAAATATCAACATTATTAGAAAGCGGTCCATGTCCATCCTCTAATATGACCTCACACATCACCAGCTGGAAGTACCTGATGTCAAAACCCTGTAATACAACTCCCTCTGGAATGGCTGCTGTGTAAAAGGCCCACTCTTCAGAGATGATGACTGTCTTAAATCCTAGTGAAGAAGAAAGTCACTGTGTGCGTCATGTGTTCATTAAGCAGAACTGCCTTATAAAGGATGGGGTGCTGTGGGTTGGTATAAGAAGACTGTTTGGGGGAGTAAAGAATTCTCAGTGTAAGCCTAAAAGCCACATCCTAGTTATTTATAATTATAGAATTATATTTATATTAATTTTTATATAGAATTATATTTATATTAAAATCTTTGAGGAATAATCATTTTTGCATGAGCAAAACTTGCTATCCTCCATAACCTGGGAGAAGAAAAGAAGCCGTAAGACTAAACGCCCGTGTTCTGACAAGCCCTGGCCCAGGACCTTCACACACATCTCACCAGGCCACATTCAGAGGCCCAGTACCTGGAGGGGAGTGATGTGGGCTCTTTTCAAGCAGGATGGGTAACTTACTCAGGAACACCAACTCTCACATGTAGAGCCAGGTCAGAATCAAAGTCTGCCCAACACCATAGCTGTTGATGTTTCTGCTCTGTTATGTTCTTGCTCCTAACATTACCAAACATACAAAGCCTGTATTTTTTTCTCGAGTATTTTATGTATTACTACAAGAGAAGAGCAGTGACATTTTCGAGGTGGAGAAGCAGATCACACAGTCATTGACCTTGATTCCCAGTCTCCTTATCATTGGAAAGATTGATTGATTCTCATTAACATTATCAAGATACACGCTTTCTATTCTAAATTGGTGCCTAGGAAATGCAAGCTCAATAAAGAAGTCTTAGAGCAGATGGTTGCCAAAGAGCCAGAGAGTTAAATACCATCTGTCACTATTATCTGAGTTTAATAACTGCCTGCACTGACCCACAGAAGCATTCTACAAAATGGACAGACTGGATTAGAGCTAGATTTTTTTAATCTTCCCTCTCTGGCTCTTTGTAAGTTAATGTCACATTGAAGTTATACTTTACACTCAAACGGTCAGAATTTTGCTCAGTAGCCATATAGTTAAATGATTGGAGGGTTAGAGGGAGACAAGCGGGGGATGAGGTGGTATTTAACTATGTGCTAAAATAAATTAATAATCTCAACTCTGCACGTATCTCTTAGTTGCCTTGGGGTACTGGCCAGAACTATTAGTTTATGTTTTGAAAGTTACGGGGTTTTTCAGGTTAAAGCAAAGTCAGAGAATGTGCATTAAAAAAGAATAAAATACGCTACTGATTCTTTGAATATGGAGATTGTGGTGAACAGATAGTGATTCTTAGAAATACTGGGTTGCCAGCTGATCCTTAGCTACAAAATGCCAAATGCCACCAAGAAGAAGACAACAAATACAGTCACTGTTAGCAGGAAACAAACAAGACTTCATGGTTATATGGCCCCTCGTCTGGTGGCCTCTCTAGACTTGTCGTCACTGATCTCGATGAATTAAATGCCCAGCAGCAGCAGCAGCTTAGAGTTTCTAGCTGTCTTTTGTGGCTCAGTGGCCAATGAGCAAATGTCTAAAACATTACTGAGTGCCTTGCCAATTCCCCCATTGTGTGCTTTGT